AGTTGGGAGGGGGGAGCAAGTATATATGATAATTTTAAACTCCACCCTGAAGAAGATATAATGGCAGTTGAACTAATAAAAATCCAGTTGACTTGATCTTTTAATTTTCCAGGAAAACAATCAAGAAAAGTGAGAACCCGACAATAGACATCCACGCAGAGGGGGCATAAAATTGCAAAACTAAAAACCCAGTTAAATAGGATGAGTTCCTGAGAGAAGTAAAAACTCTAGTGAAATAGTAATTAAAAAGGTATGAGGAAAGTATACTGGGGTAATGAGATAGAAGATTTTAGGAAGTCCTCAACCAAGATATTCTCCAGGCTTTGACCTTTCTTGTCAACCATTTGAAAACTGTCATGCAAGAGAATCACCTTGTTAAAATACAAATTGCAGGCCATCATCCCCAGATTTTCTGATTCAATGGATCTGAGGTTTGGCCCAAGACTTTACATCGCTAACAATTTCCCAGGTGGCAATACTGCTGGTACAGGGACGACACTTTAAGAATCACTGCTTTAGAGTAATTGTTCTCAATACATATACAACCATCAGAAGGAGTATTCTCTAAAATGTCTACATTGTCAAGATTATGCCTTTATAATTAGTACCAAAGTATAGGCCAGAAAGAAAGGCTGGAGTTACTAAATCCACCTGAACAATTGCAGAAAAAAAGAAAAAAAAAAATCTACCCAAAGGCATGATCAACTCTAGGAGCAAAAAGCAATCTGTTTGTTGAGGACCCCTCAACCAACATATTAAAAGGATACTTAACTAGACTACAGACTCTCACCACCCTGTTTACTCTTAGCTAACACTCTCATCAATAAACTAGTGAGAGAGAACCCGCCCCCACATTTACTGCAATTATAGGTAAAACATATATATCAGTTACAATTACTCAGACTTTATCCCATATGCAATGGTGAGTCCTGGAGACTTTTAAGCAGGAACATGATCTATTAGACCTGAATCTTAGGAAATAAAAATAAATATCAGGTCTTCTCCAGTTGAAAATAATACCCAATTCAGACTAGCTTCAGCAAAATGAGAAGTATATTATCTTGGATACCAGTAGTAACTTAGAAAATTCATTCGTAGTTTTATCTACCTGCTCAAAAAATACTACGAAGAATTTCCCAAATTTGTCTAGTGTTCCTGAGTCTGACTCTGATTTGCCATGCTCTAGTCTCCTGTCAGCCTGAACCAATCCCTATGGCCTAGGGCATATACTACTCTCACTGACCGGAACAGGTCAAGCGCCCTCCTTTACAGCCAAGGGTAGGCTAGTTCCACCCAAACCACGTGGAGAAAAGCGAGAGCGCAGAGAGGTGGGTTCCACAGGGAAAAAGAGAATAAGTGGTAAAAATAAGGGTTGCTAATGTCACAATCCTTGCGATAAACATGTTTAAGTCTGTGGGTTTAACCCAACTTACGCCATGCTGGTTTGACCATGGACTCCTTACGAATGATCACTTGAACATTGTTGCTGCATGGATTACGGTGTGGGACCTTGCTCGAGATATACTGACATGCCACGAGATACCAACCCCTTAGTTTCAGGAAATTGGAAGGTTGAGTTGGTCAGAGCCACAGATCCAGTCACCTTGGAACCTGATCGGCCCTGCCCACAGTCCCAATTCTCCTCTAGTTTACCCTATGTCTTAGTCTGTTCAGATTGCTATACCATAGACTGGGTGGCTTAAAAACAACACAATATTTTCCTCCTAGTTCTGGAGGTTGGAAAGTCCAAGATCAAGGGAAGATAGGTTCCAAGTTTCCTGAGGGCCCGCTTCTTTAGAAATAGCTGTCTTCTCACTGAAATATCATACGGCAGAAGGAGCAAGGAGCCTCTTTTAGGCCACCTTTATAAGGGCACTTACTCCATTGACGAGCACTCCACCAATATGATTCAACTGCCTTCCAAAGGCCCCACCTTCTCATCCTATTACCTTGGGGGTTATCTTTACCTCCAAGGGGGTACAAAAATATTCGGACTATAGCACCCCAGGATCACATAGTTATCTTTTTGTTTTTTCATATGTCTGGACATGAAAGAGTTTGGAAAATATTGCGCTAGCAAACAAAGTAACACAGGTCACGTATTTGCCAATTACTCCTATAATTATCCCAGTGGAAAGAGCTTCTTGGTATTTCAAAGTCAAAATCATGTGTATACAACTAGCAGCCTTAACTGTTATGCTGTTACCCAAGTAAGGTAGATCATAAATCTCTTAGAAAAGTGGCTTACACTTTCTCAAAAGGAGAAGGAGAAAAAGGAAAGTGAATAGAGATGATGGAGACAGGATAATGAGTCTCCCTCACTAGTGCCTCAGGTACTTGAGTGATTGAGAGCTGCTTGTTTCTACTTTGCATACAACTTGCTTGAGGTCAAGTTTCAATGGCTACCAAAGGCTTGCCAAACACCACCTTCAAAACAGACCTAAACAGAGGTTCCTCCAAAATAGTTATGCCAGCCTTCACAACAGTAACTCAGAAGTAATTCTTTCCTTGAAAAACCCAAGCTAAAAATGATAAGAACTCTATACCTCTCAATTCTCTATTATGAACAGTGCAGGGAATAAATGCTCTGGGACTGAATTTGATGTAGTTATGGTACAATTGTTTAGTTAGTTTTAAGGACATGGATTTAACTCAAGCTCAGAAATCAGCTTGTCATCTTCCCCTGGCTCCACAGAAGCCTGAGCAGAGTATATCATCCACTGGTTTGAGACAATTCTGGCATGAGTCCAGTGAGAAAATATTGCATGCCAGGTTCATGTGCAGTTATCTACAGTGTTTCAACCAAAATTCTCTGAATTAAAAAAAAAAAAAAATGGGAGGGGACTCATAAAATGATAACCAACACCACATTTAGAAGAAATTTTAGCTTTCAAGAGCCTCATTGCGGAATCACACAAAAATGATTTTAAAAGCCAAGTCTGGGAATGAGACATACAGTTCTGGGTCTTCAACAAATTCTGACAAGATTTCACACACTGTCAGAGAGGTTCTTTTTTGTTGCCCAGCTTCCCTGCAGTGGGAGAGGGGACAGAGCCAATGCCCCAACCTCCCTGCACTTGGGGAGCCACTTTGACCCAATTCCAGAAGCCCAAGGGCTGTCCTTAATTAGCATTGTAATTTATATTGCACAATTATGCAAATTGGGTACATAAACAAAATTATCCTTTCAGTTTGGCTTTGCTACCCGAGAAATGCAAAGCCAGTTAAAGATAAGAATAAAGAAAACAGAATACATTTGCTTTAATGCAATGCACCATTTCCTAATTTATCCTTTCTTTTGTTTTACTCTTTCACTTTGCACTTGGGGTTTTTAAAAATTTTTTCTTTTCCCTTATTTTTTTTTCTTCCTTTTATGCTTTTCTCCCCTTTATATATACTTGGCTCTTTTTCCTTGAGAAATTTTCCATGTCATTAATTCTCCTGCAGCAATTCATAACTCTTTGGGGGCATTCCTTTGTTTTTTGATATGACTACTACCTGACTGTCTATCGTTTCCCTTTTTTTTTCCCCTTCCCAGATTCTCTCCTTTCTACTGGCATCCTTTTCCATTTTACTCCATTTTCCTCAGTTAGGTTGACTTGCTTTTATACCTGTGTGATGCTCCTTGCCAGATATCTAGCAAATGCCCCCAGGATCCAATCATTTTTTTCCTAAGAAAGCTGAAAATAAGCATGGCAAATAACAGAGCTTGGAAGATAGGAAACTTTAAAATACAAAGCCCAGTGAAATCTACCTGGAAGCCAATGCCTAGAGGCAAAAGACAGTAATTCAAGTAAGTGTTACTATCAGGTAATCAATCAATGAATTCAGCATAACAAAGATCACTTTCCAACGCTGGAAAGTTATTCATATTTCAATTGAGCTAGCCCTTTTAAACAGCCTTAAAATTGTATAAAAGATAAGAAAATTTAAAATATGGAAAACTGGTAGAAAATAAACCTAGATAAAGCTGGTTTTGGAAGAACAGTGGCTACTGTGATTGACAGCGGGGGGACTGACTGTTAAGGGGATTTATAGCAGAAGTACTTGAACAGAATTGTGAAGAGAATAGAACTGTGCATTGCTTTATCTGCCCAGAACCACAGCTCCCATGGGAAACACTCCACTTCATTCTACAATCTTCTGGCTGCAGCAAAAGCTGTCAAATTAAAACATAACCCAAAGGGTACCTAACCCAACTTGAGAAAATCATAGCATCCTCCCTTTGGCTATAACTTTTTCCACATGAATAACATTCAAATGCCTTGCAGAGCCTCCTATACATAATTTTAGTCCCTATCCACCTCCCTGCCTCTACCTTATTTCCTACATTTTTCCCATTTGCTTACTAGGTTCTAGTCATCCTGGCTGCCTAATATTCTCAGCTCATTGCGTTTGTATCTTTCATCCTCTCTGCCTGCCATCATTTTCCTGATTTTTTTGATGGCTGTTTTTTCTTGTCATCTGGGTCTCTATTTAGATGTTGTCTCAGATAAATATTCTCTTATATATCTAATATTGACCTCCACTCCTGCACCCCATCAATCATTTGCTATATATTACCTTGTTTTAACATAGTACTATTTGAAATTAGCTTATGTATTTCTCTTATATATGTATTTGCCTCTTGGATATTTATTATATATTTTAACTTACTTATTCCCTGTCTCTCTCTATAGAATATAAGATCTTGTTTGTCTGGTTCACTGCTGGATTCACGGTACTACAGACAGTGTCAGACATATAAAACATTTTCAAAATATTCTTGATTTAAGAAAATGAATAGATAATAGTTTTAGAATGCACAATGACCTAAACCTAGCCAAAGTTTTCCATCCCCACAGTTAGTGTTGTTTGTGATTAGAAAAAAAAAAGTCAAGCAGTCAAGCATCTCTTTTTGGGCATTGAATATTTGGACTGAAAGATAGAAAGCTCACAGTAACCATGGTTTCCACTAAGTGGACTAAGTGAGTAAGACACTGCGGGGCGGGGGTGGGGGTGGGGGTAGAGCGGGGGTGGAGGGAATTGGTGGAGTGTGGTGGAAGGTGGTGAGGTGGCTGGGGCAGAGGTGGAAACAAAGTTTGGTCAGTCTTTATTCCCTGGTTTCTGCTATTCCTGAGGCCCAGCTGCATTCCTGTGCTTGGTTTCTATGAAACCCCTCAGAGAAAGGGGGAAGTACCTTCAGGGTATTTCCTATGATTTCTGCTTTTTCTTAAACGGATATAAATTGGTTTTTAACCTTTTGTAATCCATAAAAGTAACATATAACAACATGAAACAACATTATAACGTTAGGATTAGGAAGTTAAAATCGAGGACAAAATTAGAATTTGAATCAAGGTTCTGCTATTTATTAATCTGTGCCACGGAGGACCAATTTATTAATTTATTAATCTCTTCAAAGTTTATCTTCTTTATTTAAAAAAGAGCAATAATAGAACCTATCTGATAAAGGCATTAGAAGGGTCAAATGTAATTATATATGCAAAGTTTTTTAAATGCCTGAATATATAGTAAGTTCTTAACTATGGAATTTTAATGTTACAGCCTGGCCAAAGGGTGAAAGTCTGCCTTAAATTGGTATTTCAAACCTACCCTCATTGATGTGTCTTATTTTCTGTGGCACATTCTGCATTCCCATTTGTTTTAGAATATTTCCTAGACTCCTGTTATGTTCAGTATGTATTGAGAGTTGGGCTTTATACCTTATTCCATGAAAATTTATGCATATCTAATTTTTGATTTATCGTTTTTTGCTAGATGTCCACAATAGGGCATTTATGAACAAAGAAAATACTTGGTGCTGTGAAATTGGGGACATGATGATATGGACTGATCCTCTTCAAGTGTAGCTTGGTAAGTGCCAGGCAGGTATCCCATTCTGTGAAGAGAAGAGTAAATTCACAAGTTGAGATCCTGTAAAACAAACAGCCGAAGGTTGCCCCTCCTACTTCTCTTGGTAATGGTCCTCACTGCCTATTCTAAAATGTAGGTTGTTACAGTAAGAACAAAGAGCTGTACATGAACATGAACCTGGAGAGGGGCTTGGACTAGACCAACCTTTGTGGATGAGGTGTGAGATACCACTTTGCTGCTCCATGGTAAAGGCCTGTAGCCTAATGTCTAGTCTGCAAACATTCTGTAAGTGAGCTCCACTCCCACCACATTAATAAGCAAGATGTGTCACAACAATGGGGTATGGTGGTGGGGGTGTTTGTGGGGAACAGGCATGTCCCAAGACCAATCAGACTAAAATCCAAGGAGCAATGAAGGATAGGAAAAGCAAATGTAGCGAGAGCAAACACAGCTTTTTAGCTACCATGTATTTCCTAAAAATGTAGAAGTTTTCAAAATGTAATTTTATAAAATAAAGTCAAAAGTATACAAGTAAAAAATTTCTAAAACCTACATGAAATTTAATTAATATTGATTTTAAAATTGTTGATATGTTTTAATATGTTCCCTCTCCTTAACCAAAATTGTAAATCAGATTTTGCTTAGTGACAGAATAAGATCTCTACTGGGCTTTCAATTCCCAGGCAAGATTTAGGAAGAGATAATGAGGAAGGGGAAAAAATGCAAGACAAAAAGACTAGGTGTGTTTTAGTATAGTAGATCAGAGTAGATTCACAGGAGATTGAACACTTTGATTTTCTGCCAAGTTTTGGAAGTGGAATTCAGAAAAAGACCAGATTATGTGTGATATATTTTTTTGTTTACATCCAAGTTGTGTGTGTGGAATTTTGTGACTCTTCTAATCCAGCAATAACCAGGTAAAAAATGTAATGGAAAAAATCTTTCTAATTTTCACAAAAAGCATAAACTTGTCAGAAGTATATTAAAACATATGCATTAGTCCTATAAGAAAATTTGAACACACGGAGAGAGAATGCCATTACATAAGGTCAAATATTATAAATTGATTATTGAAATCATCTATACATTACTAAGATAAAGTAGTAATGCATTATTAGGTATTGTTTTAACATCCTATACAAATTATATTTGCTAGCGTTTCTTCTAGAAATTTGCGATTACCTTCTTAAGCATTACCCTCAGTATTTTTAAAAAATTTTCTGCATGTTATATTCTTTCTCATTTTTTTCTTGCTTCTTACTCCTTGCAAAATATTAAAGAATTTTTTCTTTAAAAATATTAGTTCTGTGATTTACTTGTTGATTTTCCAATTTCTTGAATTCAATTATATTTGTGTTCCTTCTAAGTTTCATCTTTGCTTTATTGTAGTCCAGTTAAGTCCCTGTGATAAAGACATGATTCTTTTACATTTCTTTTTAATAGACTGTTAAAGCCTATGAATTTGTCTCTAAGAACAGGTTTGGTGATACATCAGTGTTAAAATGTGGTGCTGTAATTTAGTAGGTTCCTAAATGGCCTACAATTATGGTTTAGTTTCCTTTCTGTCCCAACAGTTATTTAGGCAAATAGCTTGCTTATTTTAATGTTATTATTGATTTGTTGTTTGTTTTTAATATTTTGGGGGAATGTTTTTATGAAAACTTTTTTTTTGTATTATTAAGTTGTGACTTTATGTAATTCCTGAAATTTCTGTTATTTATTATTATTATCTTGTTCTTAACGAATACTAGTCTATTTTGGTAAATAAATCATAGATGGCTGAAAAATGTGTAGTTCTGTTTGTAGGGTACGAATCCTTTTAAATAACAGTTATTAACTTTGTCTTTTATTGCCTTGATTTTAGTTATTTAAATTATATGATTCTTGACTAGTGATTTGATAAGATACACAATGTTTATATTTTATATTTATTTTGTATGTCTCCTTAAAATGTCTACATATGTTTCTTATGCTTTATACCTGTGTTAGTATCAAAGCCAAGAATGAAGCAACATAGTTGTCCCTGCCCAGTGAGGACAAAAATATTAATACATCTTTCCTTCTGTACTCCTTTTATTCCTTCTCTTCACATCCACATTCCCTTTCTACTTTTTGCCAATATAATCTATGTTTTAACATCAAATTATTGTCGACTTGTAAATCTTTTTTTAAATATTTAAATCTTTTATTTTGCCAATGATTTTCACATTTGTATTTATTCTAAACATATTACTCGTGTTTCTATAAACCCACCTTTGTGTTGGTTCACCACTGTGTCCCTGTCCCCTACACAGAGCCTGGCACATCATATGCTCTCTGGAATTCTGTTAGGGATGCATTGCAGACTGACAGGAGAAAGAAAATATGAACCTAAACCAAATGAAACATTAACTCTCATAATAAACATTGCTTCTGTTAGCATGTTACCACTATGATTATAGTAAATCCATAGAGTGGATCACACTACTCAAAATGAAAACTTTGTGATTTCCTGTGTGTTAATACTCTTTTTTTTTTTTTTTTTTTTGAGACAGAGTTTCGCTCTTGTTGCCCAGGCTGGAGTACAACGGCAGGATCTTGGCTCACTGCAACCTCTGCCTCCTGGGTTCAAGCAGTTCTTGTGCCTCAGCCTGCCGAGTGGCTGGGACTACAGGGATGCACCACCATGCTTGGCTAATTTTGTATTTTTAGTAGAGACGGGGTTTCACCATGTTGGTCAGGCTGGTCTTGAACTCCTTACCTCAGGTGATCCGCCTGTCTCGTGAGCCACCACGCCTGACCTGTTAATACTCTTGAGAGGTGAGATGAGCACATTAACTTCATTGTTGTTAGCTCTTTTAATGAATTCACCTGTAAATAATGGTACGCATTGGTCTCAAACTCTCAGCTACACATTGTAATCACATGAGAAGATTTTTAAAAGATCCTTATAACCTGGCTACTCACCAGACCAATTCAATTCAGTTCTCTCTGGTTGAGACCCAGGCATCAGTATTTTCTAAAGTTCCTGATGCGACTGCTGAATGCAGTTAAGAACAAAAACATAGGAGAATGAATGGAGTCTAAACCTTCACTAGTTATGCCTCTGGATATAATTCAATGTAAGAAAGAGCTTTTCTGGATACTTAAAAAGTGATCTTTGTAGGCCAGGCACAGTGGCTCACAACTGTAATCCCAGCACTTTGGGGGTCCAAGGCGGGCGGATCACGAGGTCAGGAGTTTGAAACCAGCCTGGCCAGCATAGTGAAACCCCGTCTCTACTAAAAATACAAAAATTAGTCGGCGGCTTGGTGGCACACGCCTGTAGTCCCAGCTACCCGGGAGGCTGAGGCAGGAGAATCGCTTGAACCCAGGAGGCGGAGGTTGCAGTGAGCCGAGATCGCACCACTGCACTCCAGCCTGGGCCACAGAGCGAGGCATCATCTCAAAAAAAAGTGATCTTGGGAAACAGAACTTTCTAAATGATAGAAAAGCAGTTGCATCATTCAGTAACCATTTCCTCATTTCCAACATGCAGATGATTGGGAGTGTCACGCTCTGTTTTGCTGTGAAGATGGAGACGAGAGTTAGTCAAATCGCTTAGTTTAAATCAACTTGGAAAACAGATCATAATCCAGTTTTTCAAAATCAAGAACTTTGATCCTGTGGCTACTTTTTTATAAATTTAACATTGATATGAACAGAACTGGTAAACTTAGTAAACAAACTCAGAACTCTTAGGAAAAAGACAATGTCTACAGATAAGAGTAAGCGAAATTAGCTTTGTAGAGCTGAAACCTCTTTATTCCTGGCATCTTCCTTGCTAAGTCAATTATTAAACTGGTAATGTCTATTCATTTTATTATTTGTGCTGATGTTTATAAACACGCTATTATAAATATGCCTAATGCTTGGCATATAGCTTTTTTTTTTTTTTTTTTTTTTAAGATGGAGTCTTGCCCTGTCATCCAAGCTGGAGTGCAGTGGTGTGATCTCGGCTCACTGCAACCTCTGCCTCACAGGTTCAAGCGATTCTCCCGCCTCAGCCTCCTGAGTAGCTGGGATTACAGGCACATGCTACCACACCTGGATAACTTTTTTGTATTTTTTAGTAGAGATGGGGTTTCACCATGTTGGTCAGGTTGGTCTCAAACTTCTGACTTCGTGATCCGCCCGCCTCGGCCTCCCATAGTACTGGGATTACAGGTATGAGCCCCCGTGCCCGACCGGCATCTAGTCTTAACCATATTTTCAAGATAGATTTATTTGTAAAAGAATCTAGATTTTCAAATATAGATAGCTTGATGGAAATATATCAAGCAAGCTGGGCACAGTGGCTCATACCTGTAATCCCAGCACTTTGGGAGGCTGAGGCAGGAGAATCACTTGAACCCAGGAGGCGGAGGTTGCAGTGAGCCGAGATCGCACCACTGCACTCCAGCCTGGGCCACAGAGCGAGACATCATCTCAAAAAAAAGTGATCTTGGGAAACAGAACTTTCTAAATGATAGAAAAGCAGTTGCATCATTCAGTAACCATTTCCTCATTTCCAACATGCAGATGATTGGGAGTGTCACGCTCTGTTTTGCTGTGAAGATGGAGACGAGAGTTAGTCAAATCGCTTAGTTTAAATCAACTTGGAAAACAGATCATAATCCAGTTTTTCAAAATCAAGAACTTTGATCCTGTGGCTACTTTTTTATAAATTTAACATTGATATGAACAGAACTGGTAAACTTAGTAAACAAACTCAGAACTCTTAGGAAAAAGACAATGTCTACAGATAAGAGTAAGCGAAATTAGCTTTGTAGAGCTGAAACCTCTTTATTCCTGGCATCTTCCTTGCTAAGTCAATTATTAAACTGGTAATGTCTATTCATTTTATTATTTGTGCTGATGTTTATAAACACGCTATTATAAATATGCCTAATGCTTGGCATATAGCTTTTTTTTTTTTTTTTTTTTAAGATGGAGTCTTGCCCTGTCATCCAAGCTGGAGTGCAGTGGTGTGATCTCGGCTCACTGCAACCTCTGCCTCACAGGTTCAAGCGATTCTCCC